CCTTTATATATGTCTCCATATTAGTCTTTGAGTAGTCTTTAAGTGGTTTGGAGTTTGAAGCAATTTAAAACAGCTTCGCCCTGGAGGTTTTTTTTTTTTTTCTTGGCATTGCTGAAACTGAGTTATGGAAAGCAGGATTTACATGTTCCTTCTGTATTCAACAATGGCAGCCACTTTGTTCACACATTGCGGTAAGTTGACTTCCGCTTCATTATAGATTATTACCATTTAAGTGAATTTCAGCTTGAATGATTCATGTCAGTACATAATTTTCATTTCGATATGTAATTAACTTTAATTTTGCTTCTGGGTTTTGCTTCCAAATTTATACACTGTTTAACAGGATAAATGATCTAACTGTGCTGATTCTGAAAATCTCAATATGGTTTTTTTTTTTTTTTAGATTTTCTCATTTTAAAATCAAGTAGATTTCCACCCAAAATTTTTTAGAACCAACTATATAAGATTATCATTGTGTTCTTTTAATTGTTTTCACATCAAATTTTCCACATAAACTTGATTCCATGGTCTACAATACACCCCAAATTACCCCATGAGCAATGCCGTTGAATCGTATAATTCCTTAAACATGAAGAGTTTGTTACATCAACTTTTATTTATTTAATCCGTTTTTGCTGATGTGCCATCAACTTTTAGTTCTTTAGTCATGACAAGTCAAAAGGTTTCAAGAATATACCAAGTTTGCTTTGCCGCTAAGTTTCTGCTTCAAACAAGTATGGCTTATCAAAGCTGAGTTTTGCATTAACCTGTTTTATCTTTTTCTAAATCAAGGACTAAATTGAAAAGTTGATAGAATTAATGCATTACACTAAACCCTAAGCAAAGGAAAAAATCATTGCATTGAGATGATTAATTGTGAGATCATCATGATTTGATTATTGATTATTGTAATTAAAATTTTAACACTCTATCAACATATCACGCAATTAATAGCAGGGATGATTAATTGTCAATCTCATTGTTCTCATTTGGGCAGATGCAAGAAAATCAATGCGACTAGTCAAAGACCCAAAACATCCAAATAGTTCGGTCATAAAGCACACGAAGAAATTGCAACTAATGAGTAAGCTTATGAGTTTAGTGATTGAGCAACCAACTGATACATCTAATACTCTACCTTACGGCGTAAGCTCACCATTTTCTTTGCAACCTTTTGATTCTCTACCCCCTGTAAATTCTCCTCCTTATTGTGTTAACCCCCCTCAAACTCCTGCTACAACCATTCCAACTCCCATTGGAACCACACCCTCCCCACCACCGCCCTTTTACTACTTCCCTCCTGTTCTTCCAGGCCAAAGCCCACCACCAAGCTCTGGTGGAACAGTTCCAAGCCCACCTGTATTCCCGGTCACCCCGAATCCACCAGGAATAGTGTTAAGCCCACCTAGTATTTTTCCAGGCCCACCACAAGCAATACCGACACCAACAATTTCCATCCCAAGCCCATCAGGACCCATATTGAGTCCACCTTATTATGAGCCTGGCCCACCAGCCATTGTCGTGAGCCCACCATTCTATGTTCCATCTCCATTTGGGTTTAATCCGAGCCCACCAGTGTTTCTGCCACCCATTGTGTACCCTCCCCCCACGGTTCCACCACCTCCCAATGTGGCTCCAAGCACAGCCTTATGGTGCGTGGCTAAGCCTTCAGTGCCTGACCCAATTATTCAAGAAGCCATGAATTATGCTTGTGCGTCTGGAGCAGATTGTGATTCAATTCAGCCTAGTGGCTCATGCTTTCAGCCTGACACCTTGTTTGCACATGCTTCCTATGCTTTTAATAGTTACTGGCAAAGAACCAAGGGTGCTGGTGGTACCTGTGAGTTTGGAGGCACCGCCATCCTTGTCACAGTTGATCCAAGTGAGTTTCCCTATTGAAAATTTTGAGCATGAAACCTGCGATTAGACCTGTCTATGGGCCTGGATGGTCTGTCAGGCATGGCTCGGGGCAAGCGTTGGGCAAAAATTTTTCAAGCCCAAGCTTAGCCCACGTAAAAATATATTTTATTGTTATATTATTACTTATTATTCATTTTAATTTTAATTTATATTTAAATTATTAAAACACAAATATTTTTAATATATTATAATAAATTTAAATAAAATAGACTTAAATGAACTTTAGTACAAATAGATCTACGTGGACTATAGGCAAGTTACTAGGAATTGGACCCTAAAATGGATGTTTGGAATATGATCAAAAGTGTTTTCGGACTTTGTCTTGATTTTTTTTTTTTGAAAGATTTAAAAAATATAATAATTACTTGACCAACTGGTCTGATTATAAAACATTTTACTAATTTGTGTTTAATTCTTTGTGGTGCGCCACCAGGCTATGATGGTTGCCATTTTGAGTACCAATATTGATCGGTGAGGATAGGGATGAGGCAGCTAGAAGACTTATCTCTCTTTGTTTTTCTTTTCTTCTCTTGGATTATTCTTTTTCTTTTTTTGAATAAAGAATGTAGATTTTCTTTCATAATACCATGAACAAAACATAAATTTTGTAAGTATAAAAGTTACATGGTATAGATTCTCTTAGGTCATCCCATTTGGACTAGTTTTCTTTTTCTTTTTTGAGTTTATAATTATATATAGTTCTTGCCTTCGAAAATTTTCTTCTGTAAATGGGATCCCACCTCTCCTTTCACGAGATTTGTAAATTTATTGCAAAATACACAACCGATCAATAACATGGGAGAGACAATGTTTTTATGTACTCGTCTATTTGTTTATTAGGTTGTTTTTATAAAAAAATTTTTAGATTTTTTTTAATATTTGATATCATTAAAAATTAAATTTGATAATTGAAACTAAACAGTTTACCTAACCTCATTGTAATTTGTAGTGTACTTGATCCTACTGAAATTTAAATTCTCATTGGAATATATGTATTAATATATGATAATTTATAAATTGACTTTATTGAAAAGAAAATTAGAGGATAAATTGACAACATTTAAAGAATTTGAGGACCGATAGTTAGTGAATAAAGATAGACATACTATATATGTTTTTTTAATAAAAATATATTAATTTTAATTAAATTAAAATAATAATTTATATTATTTAATAAAAAAATTATTTACTAAATATATATAAAAATATATATGTAATGTACAATTACAGGATGGTGTTATATTAACCATCTCATCAAGATAATTTATTTTTAACAATACTCTCAATATTAATTTTATTTCTCTCTTTTTTTTTTTTAAACTTTATGCTTGCAAAGAAATAGTTTTTTTTTTTTAATTTGTGAGACAAATAAATTTTTTTATTATTTTTTATAACTTTTTTAAAAATTATGCATAATTTTTATTATATTTTTTTGCAATTTGTGCTCCTACATGTTAAAAAGTTAAAATAATTTTTTAAAAATTTTTGTGAAAACTTTGAATATTTTGGTTGTTTGGGTTTATATGCATGAATCTTATAAAATTTTTTTGATAATTCTTGAATGTTGGAGTTAAGGAAGAGGATCAATATAACATAATAATAATTCTTCTGAAATATTTTGACAATTGAAAGTAAAAAAAAAGTTGATTTAATTGTTTAGGCATTGTTAGTTAGTTTTATTTATTTATTTAGAAAAAAATGTATATGTGTACTTTTAATTATGGAATTTGTTTTGCTTTTTTTTTTTTTAATTTTATAAATAAAAGTAAATGACTAAAATGCAATACTAATTCTAACATAATTATTTTATATAAAATAAAATCATCTTTTATTTATTTGAAATTAATTTTTTATTATTTAATTTTTTTATAGTATTATCGGTTTTATTTTTTGGAAGTGAACATAAGTAGTAAAAATTTTTAGCTTTGAAATTGATTATAAAATCTTGTGAATGGGAATTGGTATCTTTTTATTGAATTTTTTTTTACAACAAATTTTAAAAATAATTATTTAAAATTAAATGCTATTACTTAAATTTTAAAATTATTTCATTTCAACTTTTACAGTAATACAATTTTGTATCAAATGTAAAGCTTAAAACAAGTATAAGTATTAATTTGACAAATCTTATAGATGTTGAATATCAAGATATTACTAAAACTCATGCAAAAAATGTATATTTGAGTAAGTTATCATGTATATTATTTAAACATTTAAAATTTTTTTTCAAATAAATAAATTTATCTTAAAATTATATAAACTTGCAATTGTATAAAAATGATTACACAATATTAAAATAGCATAAATTAAAAAAAGTTAATTTAAAATCATGAAACTTTGAATTTTTTTATTTAATTGCAGGTGTATAAAAATGATTACACAAGATGAAAATGACACAAATTGAAGAAAATTAATTTGAAATGATGAAAATTTTAATTTTTAGTTAATATTTTGTTGGTATACTCAATAATATTATTTATATATAAATCTTTTGGGTATTTTATTTTTTTCAAATATTGTTATATGTTTTGAATTTTGTGTTTTGAATTAAAATTTTGAATTATATTATTTTTTGATATTTTAATTATATTATTTATAATTTGCATATATATTAAACATTTAAGTGATTAAATAATATTAATTTATATATATTTAAACACATTTAAATAAATAAAGATAATTTGTGCACAGTGGATAACATGCTGGTCTGATTAATAATCCCACTGCCAATGTATAAGACGAATTTTGTGCTTAACATTTTTTAGCAATAACAATGTTAATATTTAAAGATTTTATATGAAAAATTTTATATTTATATCTTTCCTCTATTTAAAAAAATAATACCCCTTCAATTCCTTTTAATTGCTTTTTGTATGTTTTTTTTTTTTAACTTTCATGAAAATTAAGAAAAAAAAAACTTTGATTTTTGTGTATTTTAATTACATTAAAATTTTATTTTATTTTTATAAAATTGTATTTTGAAACTTTAATATGAAACATAGAAAAATAAGAACTTTACTCTCCCGGCCCTAGAAAAAGCCCAACCCGACCACTTCCTCAAGAAATACGTTCTTTGTTTTTTTCTATGAAACGATGTCGCTTCAATGGAAGTTCAATCAAAACTAAAAGTCGCTTCGACCTCGTCCTCTTCCGTCTCCTTCCTCCCCGGTCCTGTGATCGCTAAACAACCACACAGATTGGATTCCCTCTATCTATCGATCATTCATTATCTTACAATGAAGATTTTCTCTCTTTTCCTAATTTCCTCATTCCTCTTCTCATTTTCTAGGGTTTGGTCACTTTCCCCTTCTCTCTCTCTCTCTTAATTATTATTTTAATATAATTAGATCTGATACTTGTAAACTCTTTTAATTGATTAGATTTTTGCTGATTTTGTACCCGCAGGCTGAATCTACTGGATCCGTTTTCTTCATCGATAGTTCAACTCATCAATTTCTTCGCACTAAATCCTCCAACCATGTCGCTCAGGTTTTTGTTTATTTATTTATTTTCTCTTATTTTGTGATGAATTTTGAGTATCAAGAGACTGCGGATGATTAAGTTTTTTTTTTTTCTTCATAACTTTTTTTTTCTTGTGACGCATATTGATATTGGAATATCCTGCGTTGTTCATATTTCTAATTTTTAATCTCATTGTGAATTGTGATGTGATGCTGCTTTCTCACCTCCAATTTTTTTTTTCCTTTTCCACTTTAACAGCCGGAGTCAATGCTGTTATCTGAAGTTGGTGCGACCGTATCAGTCTTGCTTGGTTTTGCACCATCCACTACGCTTTCAGCTGCTGGTTCGTCTAAGGTCAGTGTTTATTTATTAGTCCTGAGTAATAAATCTTTTTAGTTTCCGCTTTCTATTTTACTTAGAAGCTTTGGTTCAAAGATATCCATGCTTTTTTGCAGCTGAACGAGGTTCTCATTCCTAATCCATTTGATAGACCTCGTGCTGTTTTTATGCTTGCAGTTAGTGGAGTCGATGGTACGTTCACTTTTTGTCAAAGTTCATTTTCTCTGATTCCTTCTTTCCCAACTCCCTCTGCGTTTTTTTTTTCTTTTAAATATTCTTCTGTCTTCAGATCCGCTAGTTGTTGAACCCAAGAATGCCCTCTTTATCAAAGCCTTGAAGAATAGTGTTGATCTTGGTTCAAGTAAAGCTGACATTCAGCTTCCAGGTACCAGACCTTTTGTCAAGATGTAAAACTAGCAGACTGTAGTCATAACTTCTGCTGTGTTTTTTACTTTTCCTTGATGTATCTATTCAATAGGACTTGTTTATTATATGAATTTTCTTGCAGATGAAGAGGAAGTATCTGTGATTTCTTTGGACGAGCCTCTAGGAGATTGCACGGAGGAAGAGATCAAGGACTTTGTTAGTTTATTATTCTAGGCTTTAGTTAAAATCTTGTACTGCTTGTTTTCAATTTGATTGTTTATTTTGGCTACACATGTGACTATGGTTTTATATATATGTTTAGGCGTCTTGGTTGGGTGGATTGTATGTCACTGATGCTACGAAACCTCTGCATGGAGTATTGACAATTCCCTTGGCAAATGGTGACAATGTGAATCTTCATATGTCAAAGGTCTTATTCGGGAACCCATATGCTTTTCTATGAATTGCTTTTGACTGACACTGTTATGGTAGTTGCAGTAGTATATTGTCTTAAAATCTCATATACCTCATTGTGAGCTTTAAGGTTTCGCTTTTTTGCAGAAAGTACACAGGGAATTTGCATCAAAACTGTTTGCTCTGTCCCTCAATGTAAGGAAAGCCTTGGAGATACATGAAGATTTGTCACAGAGTTTGCATAGATCTGCTGAGTTAATAATGGGTTCTTTTGATGGAGTTAAGGTACCAAACATAATGAATTAATTTGGCTAATAGTAGTGTTTTGTTGGGAATATATTTGGAAACCATCATGCTTATGTGGAAGGCTTCTTTTATCCTTTTCAGCCCACTTCCATGATTAAAACTTCTTGTCAATCCATGAATAGGAAGAAAAGGGCTTTATTCGCAGTGCAGTTCTTTTAGTTAAAACTGAAATGTAACTACCCTTATATGACATTAGGACATTGCCCCCCACTGACAAATGGCATGCTTGCCGACCATGCTTGCTTGGTCTTCTAAATATCTGTCTTCTTATCAGATCTGTGTGTGAGGAAAATGTGTCTTTGCATCTTCAAGTATGAATATTGTTTTAGTTCAATATCAATTAAGAAAGCCCTAGAAAACGGTTAATTCATGTTTCTATCTAGTCATGTATTTTCATGCTATTGTAATGACTGTAATCCTTTTGTTTATGTTCGCTTCCTCATTACTTACCCCCTCACTAATCCTTTTAATGTTTCCGAAAACAAAAAATTACAGTCTTTGCAGGAGCACCATGACTCTGACGGTGTTGATAAGCAAGGAATGAGGCTTCTGCTTGCCACACTTTCCAAGATATTTGATTCACTGCAGACAGCTTATGAAGGTTGGTGACATATTGAACTCTCCATTGTTGAAGGAAAAAGACCTCCACTTTTCCAAATAATTAAAAGTGAGAAATATGCTGTTATTCCAGTTTGTCCTCCTTTTGCGTGCTCTATGTATGCAAATGCAAAGCCAGACATAGTGTGCAACTTTTTATGAATAAAACAATGATAAATGTTTTTTCAGTTGTTATCTTCTGTTTTTTAGGTGTAATAGTGAAACTAGCCATGTGAATTTATGTGTAATTCTTTATGCATTTGTGCTGGTGTTAGCATTCTCAAAATTTGCAGTTAATGCTTTTCATCTCGAGTTATTGACAGCATTTGTCTTTCTATCACCCCCCATCTCTGGTTGCCAATTTGTTTAACAATTCCAATTAATGATTGGGCAGGTCAAATTGTTGGAGTTATTGTCTTTAATGGGGTACCTCTACCAGAATCAAAAAGACTGATGAATGTGATGTATACCTCTCGTCCATCTCTGCGTAGGTTGGCTGAAACAAAAAGCTATGATAATATCACCCTTGCTGCACAAGTGTTGGTTAGAAGGACCCTTGCTTGGGTGACTGGAGTTGTTCTTCTCATTGCAACTCTCATGGGGGTAAGATCTGTTTTATATACTAATTAACTTGGATGCCAGAGTTTACATGGTCCCTAGAGTGCTTTGTTAACATTTGCAATACGGAAGTCCAATGAAATTTATAGAATACCATAGCATAAAACCAAACAATCCTCAGCCTTTTGAGAAATGTTGAAAGTTCTTTCATCCCAGTTTTTCCAACAATTGAAATACTAAACAAAGTTTTGACCAGAATCCCATAACATTTACCTTTTATGTTTTCCCCTAAGAGGTGTCATCTTTTTCTTTCTTCCAAGATTTGGAAAACAATGAAGTTATTCCGTCTTACAGCAAACTGAAATTTGTATTGTCAAGTCAGAATTACCACGTGTAGAGCTTGCTTTCTCTTTGTCTAGGAATATGTATATATTAGAGGAATTCTGGTTTCCATACTGCTGTGTATTCTGATGATTGATTTCAAAAAAGGTCTTTAGGGGTTGGTGGGCTGGAAGAGTGACTGCCAGTAAGATTGTAAGATCCAAGAGAAAACTAGAGGTCCCTTTGGGAAAGGATTAACCGAATTCTCTTTGTAGATTGTCAGTGGCAAAGGTTTTGGTCAGTGTCTCATTGTCCTAGAGATCCACATCATCAATACTGTTGACTGATTTAGGGGTTATAATGACTCTGTTCTCTTCATTTAGTGGCTGTGGCTGTAAGACTGTTTACTCAATCGGTTATATTTTTTGTTGAGAACTGTGGCACTGATATCCATTCTTGGTTTATGTTTGTTTCCTACTGCAGGTTTACTTCCTTCTCAATATGCCACTGACAAGGGACACACTTTTGTATTCTAATGTCAAGCTAGACTAAGCTGAAATAAGGCAAAGTATATGAGTATTTGAACTTTGGGAAGCAGCCCAGTGTGATTTATCTTTTATTGGAGGGAAATTCAGGGATATCTTATAATCTTTGAAGCTGTTTCATTCCTTGGTTATTCAATGATGTTGCATAGGTTAAACCGGCAAACAAATGCTGTTTGTCTTAGGCATTAGTAGCTGCATCACTAGAAATTGGGCTATTTGGGAGTGCAATTGAAAAAGGAAGAGTTGAGCTTTATGATTGTATGTATATGTTATCAATATTTGTTTTGTCACTTCATATACAGATGAGCAATAATGTATTTGAAAATTCTGAAAAATGAGAATTTCTCATCAATCAAGAAACATTGTTGTACAATAACTAAATGAGCATTGTAAACGAAAATTTTTGTTGGAGCTCTTTTTTGTTATGACAATTTTAAAGGCACTTGCTGCATGTTGGATGTGTCATCTGTGCAAATAATGTGGCTTTTCTTTTCCATTAGAAATTTTTAACCAAAAGAACCAAAGCACGAAGCAACTCCAATACGGAAAATGATTGCCATCCTTACCAATGAGATTGGGTTTCTTAGCACATCCTAAATGTGATTGGCTTAATAAATTTTATTGATTGAATAAGAAGTAAAGAGTGGATAATAAAATTACATAATCAAAAGCATAATTCAGGAAAAACTAAAGCCAAGCATGGATAGGGATGTAAACGAACATAGCTTTAAATAAGTCATTCGTGAATGTGTTCGGTTTTTGTTCATTTCTATTCGTTTATTAAGCTTAACAAATGATTTTGAACAATTTTATATTTATTTATTAAACGAATCAAACACAAATAGAAATCTGTTTAAGTCATTTATGTTCATGAATAAATTCATTTAAAACTCATTCATTTAATGTTTATAAATGAGTTCGTTTAACTTAATTGAATCGAATACAAAATGAACACGAATATTCTGCCATTTAAACGAACTGAGATCAAACAAACAAAACAATATTTTTATTAAACACATATTGATCTTGAATAAATCTAAAAATAAATGAACGAACCACAAATATATGTTCGTTTGTTCATATTTGATTTGTTTGTAGTCCTAATTATGAGTGTCAAATTAACTCACTCCACAAATAACAACTAATATTTATTTTAGTGTATTAGATTTTAAATAATTAGATTTTAACAATACAAGATGTTTAATGTCAATAATCAAAAATTAATTTTTATAATTTTAAATATAAAAAATACCCTCAATTAGGTATTTTTGTATTTAGCTTTTTTTTTTTTTACTTAGTATTATATTAAAATTAGTTTTGTGATATTTCTCAAGAATAAACTAGGCATTATTCAATATATTAAAAAAATAGACATTATTTATTTACTAATTTACTCCCAGTGGGATTTTCAGTTCCCTAACAAATAATTTTATTTATCTTCTTTGACAAACAATGATAGCTACAATGCTATTGCCTTTAAGGTGGAGAGACAACAAAAGGAGGCTTGTGGTAGCAACTTGAGATTTGAGTCATGAAAAGCCTATATCAATAAAGATGGCTTATCCAAGATTGTTGTTTCTCTCAAGCCCATTCCAAAGCAACCCCAAAAGAAAGATAGAACCTCAACAAGCAAGTCTCAGTCCAGTTCACAAACCAGAAGGTGTTTTAAATGTTAAGGGCTTGGACACATTGCTTCAGAATGCCCAAACAGAAAGATTGTGACTCTAGTAGAGGAAGACTTGGAGGAAAATGAAGAGGAGGCTGAAGAGGATCAAAACTGAAGAGGAGGAAGAGGTAACCTATGACAATTGTGAAACATCCTTAGTCGTACATGCAGCTTGAGTACCGCACCTGCTAAGAAAAAAGATTGGTTGTGTAAAAATATGTTCTACACTCGGTGTACTACCCATGAGAAGGTATGTGATGTTATAATTGATAGTGAAAGTTTTAAAAATATTGTTTCTACCTTTATGGTGCAGAAATTTGGCTTCAAGGTAGTAGATCACCCCCAACCATATAAGCTATGTTAGCCATAGAAAGAGAATGAAATCAAGGTTAGCAAGAGATGTTTGGTTCCTTTTTCTATAGGAAAGAATTATAAGGACAAAGTGTGATGTGATGTAGCTCCAATGGATGCTTGCCATTTACTGCTCAAAAAACCTTGGCATTATGATAGGAGGGTTTTTTTATGATGGTTACTGCAACACTTACACATTTGTGAAGGATGGATACAAAATCATCTTAGGCCCTACCAAGCCTATGGTGATGTCCAAACCAACTAAAGGGGAAGAAAGCAACTTGTTTACCAAGGCTAATTACAAAAAAAAAAAAAATTAAGATGTGTGGTACTATATATGCACTAGTGTTGATTGAGGAAAATAAAAATAGTGAGGAGCCCTTTGCAGTGAAACAACCATTATTGGTAGAATTTCAAGATGTTGTTCATGAAGAGTTACCAGCTCGTCTACCATTAACGAGGGATATTTAACACTGCATAGACCTTATCTCAAGAGCTGTTCTATCTAGCAAGGTAGCCTATAGGATGAGTCCTAAAGAGCATGTAAAGTTGCAATGCCAAGTTGATGAATTGGTGAGAAAAGGAATGGTGCATGAAAACATGAGCCCTTGTGCAGTCCTAGCCCTTTTAGTGCTTAAAAAAGATGGATCATGACACATATATGTGGATAGTAGGGCAATCAACAAAATCACAATTGACTGTCACTTTCTTATTCCATTCTTAGATGATTTGTTGGACTAACTACATGGAGTAACTATTTTCTCCAAGATAGATCTACGCAGTGGTTAGCATCAAATCAAAATGAAGCTTGGAGATGAGTGAAAAATAGCCTTTAAGACAAATGATGGTCTTTATGAATGGATGGTAATACTTTTTGGTTTATCCAATGCTCATAATACTTTCATAAGATTTATGAATCATATCCTTAAGCCTTGTATTGGCAGATATGTAGTAGTATGTTTTGATGATATTTTGGTGTATAGCAAAGATGAGAACCAACATTTGAATCATCTACACCAACTTTTTGCATATTGAAGGAAGAAAAACTATATGCTAACCTTAAAAAGTGTAGTTTTTTTACTTATAGCCTTGTGTTTCTAGGGTTTGTTATGTCAAAAAAAGAAATAAAGATGGATTTTAACAAGGTTGAAGTAATTTTAAATTGGCTAACACCAGCATCTCTACATGATATCCGTAATTTCCATGGCCTTGCATCTTTTTATAAGCATTTCATTAAAAGTTTTAGCTCCATTGTGACTCCTATCACTGAATGTTTAAAGAATAAAACTTTTAAATGGACCAAAAAAGCCCAACACAGCTTTGAACTCATCAAGACCAAGATCACTAAAACTTTCATCTTGTCCCTACCAGACTTTGATCAAGTGTTTAAGGTGGAATGTGATGCATCCAATTTTAGAATATGTGCTATTTTAAGTTAAGTAGGAAAGCCTATAGCATTTTTTAGTGAAAAGCTCAATGAAGTTAAGAAGAAGTATTCAACCTATGACAAGGAGTTCTACGCCATTTATAGGGCCTTATTCCATTAGAGTCAGTATCTCTTTCTTAAGTCATTTGTCTTATATTCAGACCATGAGGTATTGAAGTTTATCAATAGCCAGCATAAACTCAACCGAAGACATGCAGCTTGGGTAGAGTTCCTTTAAGCCTACAACTTTACTATCAAACACAAATAAAAAATTTAGAATGTGGTGATAGATGCTTTGAGTCGAAAACACTTCTTATTGGGGACTATGGTTGTTAAAGTTATTATATTTGATATGATCAAAGGGTTCTATGAGACAGACCCTTACTTTGGTCGAGTTTAGGAAGAATGCCAGCAAAAACCACACAACCAATTTTTGTTGCATGATGGATATCTCTTTAAGACTAACAGTCTTTGCATTCCCTTATGTTCTTTAAGACATGTTTTAATTAATGAGGCTCATGATGGTGCACTAGGTGGACACTTTGTAAAGGATAAACACTTGCTCTTTTGCATGATAGGTTTTATTGGCTGAAAATGGAGAGGGATGTGATGGAACACCTTGAACGATGTAGAATGTGTCACATTACCAAAAGTCATGGTCAAAACATTAAATTTTATACTCCATTGCCCGTGTGTAATGTTCTTTGAGATATGCTTTAATCAATGAAGCTCATGATGGTGCACTAGGTGGACACTTTGTAAGGGCTAAGATACTTGCTCTTTTGCAAGATAGGTTTTATTGGCTGAGAATGGAAAGATATGTGATGAAACACTTTGAACGATGTAGAACGTGTCACATTGCCAAAAGTTATGGTCAAACATTAAATTGTATACTCCATTACCTGTGCCTAATGCTCATTGGGAGGATATTAGTTTGGACTTTGTAGTTGGACTGCCTAAAACTCAAAAGAGCAAAGACTCTATCATAGTGGTTGTGGATCATTTTTTCAAGATGGCCCATTTTGTTCCTTGTAACAAAACTATAGATGCTTCTCATGTTTTTGATCTGTATTTCAAGAAAATTATAAAGCTACATAGAGTTCTTAGATCCATGATATCTAATCGAGTTTTTAAATTTTTTAGTCATTTTTAGCGCACCATTTAGGAAAAGCTTGGCATTAATCTCAAGTATAGTTTTTCTCATCATCCTCAAATAGAAGGTCAAACAGAGGTAACCAATCGCAGTTTGGGTAACCTTCTAAGAAGTTATATGAGAAAGAATATTAAGTAGTGGGATCTTGTTTTACTTCAAATAGAGTTTACCTATAACCTCTCACCAAACCAACCACTGGTAGCCCTTTTGAGGTGGTATATTGTAAGAATTCAATCAGTCCTCTAGATTTAATTTCTTTTCCTACTAATTAATAATTTAGTGAAGATGCAGAGAAAATGGCTAAGGGTATCAAACAATTGCATGAACAAGTCAGAATTAAGATTTTACAGCAGAATGAGAGGTATAAAAGGTAGTAAACAAGCATCGAAAATATGTGAAGTTTAGAGAAGGTGATTTAGTGTGGATT